AAATTATATTCTCCTTGTGTGACAGAAATCATAGCTTATAGTATGTTCGAACAGAAATAGAGAAAGATAGTGCCCTTCCTCTTCATAGCAGGGTGTTGTCTTGATTAGTTCTCTGGTGTTTAGATAGTGGATCAGCCTGCCTTACTTTCTAGTGGAAAGGTAGAGAGAACTGACCTCAAATCACTCTTTTCTCGGTTTTATTTTTGGCTCAGTAAGTGATCAAGAAATGTTTTTAGGATTGTCCTTTGCATTGGTACAGGGTCTTTGATCTTTTGTTTTGCTTATGCAAGCATCTGGTTTTAGAAATGAAGTTAGCTGATTGACATGTCCTTAATAATGCCAGTGTTAATTAATGTTAATGAGGTGTTAAGATGATAAGTATGTGATACTTTTTAGGGGATTTAAGAAATATTTTATTTTATTTATTAAACTTAGCCTAATACATGTTCATTAGGCAATTTAACAGAAAAAAAATCACAATTAAATTGAATTAAGCATTCTGTTTTTCTTCATATTTTAGTTTTTTAATAACAGGAAATCATTAAATGTAAAAAACTATTTTTCAGCAGATGAAAGAATGAATAAAGGTTGTTCCAATAACTTGGACCGATTTTAAATGTGAATTAAGTTTAAAATTGATCCAAGTTAGTGAAACACCCTTTATAAGCTGCTGCCAAAATTGGCAAAACTTTTAGGGACAATAAAAGGAATTATTTGATTTTTCATAAAATCAGTCCTTTAATAATGACCTAAATTTGCATTCGTGAAAAATTAATGTTATTTCAGTTGAAAAGATTATATTTTGCTTTGGTTACTTTTGGTTTATATGTCATGAGTTTTGGGTTTGACTCTGGCAGCATCTATTTGTTTTTTTTATAGCTTTGAGAAGTGAAAACTTTGAAAAGGAAATTTCAGGTTACAAATCCAACCTTATCAATGAAGGTTTGTTGATACAAAGTGGCTTGAAGCCTTTCTCTAATATTCTTTATCAGATGTGTTCTAAACACAAGGGAACAGATTCAGGTTTGTAAGAAAAAAAATTATAGTTTATTAATATTTGTATTTTATTAGCAAATAAAAAATTGTCAGAGTTTTAGTTTATTTATTTTTCAATTATTCTTTCAGAATAGTAAATGTTTGCCACATTTGATAGCTTTCATGGAATTTGAAACAAAACTTTTATTTTCACTGAAAAGAAAATAGAAGAAAAGATTCTTTCATAATGCTTGTATTTCCAGTTAATAATATTCTAATGGAAACACTGGAACAAAAGATTAGTGAAGAAAACTGTTTAATCATATGGATTAATAAAACATTAATAGCAAATACTGTAGTTAGTGCAGCAATGCATATGACACACATAGCAACCCACTTTACAACTACTTTTTGACTCCAGGTCCTATGAGTTGACTTTCCTCTCATAGTGAATGAAAGAGTCTATGTTCAACAATTTAGCATAGCAACAGTTAGTCATCTTTCTACACAATAGATTGAAATTAAAAAAATCCTTGCATGAATAAAACAAACTATCAAATTGTCTAGCATATTTTTCAAAATAGAAGATTAACCAGTGTATAAGATTAATCAGTGTATAAGACACATCCTTATTTTGAAGACATAGTAGGGGCTGGAGAAGGTATAGTCGTATTTGAAAGATTTTTATTGAACAAAAATTGAACCTGATATTTTAAAAAATTAATATATTTTGTTTTAAGTACAAAAGAGTTCAAAACATTAAAATAAGATAATACCAATTACTGCTATTTAGTTTGGCTCAAAACAAACTTCCTATTGTGTTCACTATCACTTGGAAAGGAATCTGATATTTCATCACTGGATCCAATCAATGGATTCTATCAAAGAGAATGCCACCCTCAGTCTCATCCATTGTGTTACTGATACCACACTTCTTAAATGACTTCATCACTTTATCACTTCTTAGCAAAATTTTTTTGCTTAATCAAGTTGATCTATTTTTCACTCACTAAAGACTTAAAGGCTTTGTTAATAGAAGGTTGCAGGAGACTTGGTAAACTGCTGTGTAAATGCAGTCAGGTGTTTTATTATTCCTATTTTCAGTGTATATGATGCAAGCAAATTTTGACATCAATTTTGAGGGTAAAAAGTCCATCTTATACACCAACATGTATAGTGTATGCTTTATGAGTATATTTTATCTTACCTGCCCCCTCGCCAAATTATTTATTGTTGAGTTGTTGATGAAGTTAATTTGTATCATTTTACTTTGAAGTAAATCTAAAAAATATTGACAAAATATCTCATAGTTTGTTGTTCTTCCATTGATTATTTACAAATTCACGCTTTAAGTTTTTGAGTTATCTCCCTTTAATACTATCCTTGACAAAAAAATATGGAATAGCTGCACTTGGAGTATGTTCATTCACCCTGCCTTGTTTTACTTCACAGCAAATAAACAAATGACAAATATAAGACAAAACAATTTTTTTTAACAACTGAACATTCTGCCTTTGTGAATTTTTTCTGAAACAAATTTGATGTAAGTTTCCCAGAGTTTGGTCTTTTCACAAGGCTTCAAATTGTGTTGAATTCAAAAACCGCTTGAAAAATGGAACAGAAGAATTCCCCCAGGACAAATTGCTTTGGGGCAATAAACAAGGGTGATACTATAGAGCACAGAAAAGCTTCACATGGCATGAGTAGATTAGGAGGGGGCTGAGCTTTGTTCATTGATGACAATGTCTTCCTAACAAAATTAATTGCTATTATTTTAACTAATGGAATTTTTTCCAAATTAAATGGAAGAAACATTATTAATCAATGAAAAAAATCTCAATTAATACAATATTGCTTTTTCTCAAGCTTTTATGACAGCTTGAATTTGTTGAGACATAGACTCCTTAATGAAAAATATTTTTTCTCAAGCTGATTCTAACTTGATAGTGGTTGACAGATCAAAAAGCCTCATCATGAGTCATTTTTATTTATATTTTAAATTTCCATCTTAAATTCACATCTCTACCAGTCATGTCATTAAGTTGAAATGTCTTTCCTATAAGAATATTCACTCTAGGGTATCATCACCAAATCTATTTTCTGTTGATTCAATGAGAAAAGAGTCCAAAATTTCAATGTGAAACTGTACATTGACTATTGAGATGATGATTAAAATCCCCTCTGATCCTTTACCTGACATGCAACCTTATATCATAAATGTGTAGCTAAACTTTCTTGTTTTCTTCAGGCAGCTATCTTTATAAGTTTTGGTATTTACCTAAACTTCCCCACAAGACGGGATGTGACACAAGGCCGTTTTTTTTATGTGGGGCGTTTCCAAGCTTGTTGGATCCATGTTACCTTTCAATTGATAGATTTTTTATTGAAGCAATGTTTCCTTTTGTTTGACACCTCTCTTGCTGGATCCATTTTTTTCCTTTTAATTGACAGCTCTCTTCTTGGGACTATGTTTCCTTTCAATTGACAGCTCCCTTGATGGAGCCATTTTCCTTTTAATTGACTCCTCTCTTGGTGAAGTCATTATTCCTTTCTTATTGATTGATCTTTTATTGAGGAAGTGTTTCTTTTTAATTATCCATGTCCAAAATCTTGATAATATCTAATAGTATTCTCTTTTAACTGCAAATTAATTTATATATTTGGAATTATACTGCTATTTTAGAAATGCTAATTGTAAGGTGATTCCTTAATTTTCCCTCTAAAAACAATATACCTTAATTTAAATAATTTAATTAATATATATTTCATGAAGCTTGAATTGTCAGCTATTAAAAAGAAAATAATGTTTTGTATTATGTCTATAATTTCTTTATTTACAGGGAATAAATTATAAAATGCTTTAATGTGGTGATCTAAAAAAAACAATTTCCTGTTATTCTGTAAAATTGAACAATGCACAACAAAAATAAAGTGTCTTCTCAAGGGAGCTACTCACAATTTTCTTATCTATAAGGCATTTCTGACCTTTGCTCAAAAGGCAAGATTTTACTATTTTCATAGCTCACAAACCTCTTACTTACACCTTGCACATGAACACAGACAAATATACACCCAGAGAGATACCTGACAACTGGATTATATATCCCAATTTACTTCAGATATCCGTTACATTAAAGGTTTAGACAATATAATGGCAAATAGAGACTCGCTCTCCACAATACAATCTCTACATTCTCAAACCCTTACCTCTGACAGAGGAACAACAAAAGATATCACATTAAATAGAGTAAAATAGGATACTTCTTTACAATTGATGGAAAATACCGTCATATTTGGACTGAAAACACTATTCTACCATATGGGGACAGGTTATTGAAGACCATACATACCACCTTCACTGAGAAAAAGATTGCTTAAACACTTTCACAACCTCTCACATCCTGGACATCAAGCTACCATCAAGAAATCATTTTCTCTGGCCCAACATGTATATTGATATAAAAAAATGGACTCAAACCTGTTTAAAATCTGTCGCAGTGTGTCCAGTCACCACTCCCACCTTTTCTTAAACAATGCCTGCTGGTAGAGAAAGGTCACGACCCTTGTGTGCTAAAAATAGCAACGACATCCTTTCAAACTGACAGAAACACACAAAACTCAATTTTCGCCACTAAACAAAAATAAAAGACCTTTAATTTCGAACCGAAATTAATTTAAATACAGTCAACAAACACCAAACACACTTTTGACTGTAATTTATATGGCCCGAAATTAATTATATTCATGTACTTGTTTAGCGTCACCGCTTCTCTTGTATGAACCGTCATATCTAGATGCCCGAGACTTCGCAGCGGATTTTAGCCAGCCAGGGAGCAGGGAGCCTTCCTGAATCGCGACTTTGACGCGCCCAGTCAAGTCGACCGAGCCTAGCAGCTGACGGGACCCAGCATCAGCAGCAGCATTTGTTCAAACAGTCCTTTTCAGGGCTAACTTCTGAAAGTCATTCGATCACCACTCTTTGAGGCTCCACTCAATTCACTCTCTGCTACTGCCTTCCCTCTGAGACGCCAGCTCACTCCTGCAGCTTCCCGCAGTTTCCAGCTCACCCCTGCAGCTTCCAGCAATCTCCAGCTCACTCCTGCAGCACTTCACTGATGTCCAGCGACCAGTTCCAACCTCCGGATACCATTCCCGAATAAACGACCCCTGTCGTCTTTCTATCCACCATTCGCAAATAAAGACACGATTTCTATCGTCTACAACGGACCATCTGCGTTTGTCATCCTTCTTTGCTATTGCCATCTCCTTGCCTTTGTGTCCCCTTTTTAGTTGTACGGTCGATTGGCACTCACACCTCTCGGCCCACTGCAACAAATGTCAAAAAAGCAAAGTAACCAGACATATAAAATCTCCTCCTGGGCAATTTATCAAACCAGACAGTAGGTTCGCAAAACTCCACATCAATGTAGTGGAACCATTACCAGAAGCAAATACCTATCATTATGTACTCACTATCATTGACTGATGTACAAGATAGCCTGTTTCTGTTCTTCTCAAGGATATATCTGCAGAAACAATCTCTAAGAGCATCTTACATGAATAGATAGAAAATTCTTACATGAATGGATGGCTGTTTTTGGTTGTCCCTCAATAATAACAACAAATCAATGATCTCAATTCCAATTTATGCTTTTCGACAAATTCACAAAACTACTGGGAGTCAAGCATATAACAACATCATATTATCCTTGTGCCAATGGCTTAGTTGAACATTTTCACAGGCAACTTAAGGCAGCACTAACAGCAAATATCTATTCTTGAACATGGTTAGAAAATTTACCACTGGTTTTGTTATCCATCAGGAATGTAATCAAGGAAGATTTTGGATGCACAGCATCTGAATTGGTCTTTGGGACATCATTAACATTACCAAGAGAGTTTTGAAATAAAATCAGTCACCTACAGTCAACCCTTTTTTGTACAAAACTTCAAACAAAGAATGAGTGATCTAGTCTTCAGACCCACTAGAGCGCAAGCCCTTTACACACCAAAGGATCTTCTCAACTGGGAATATATTTTCTTATGAAATTATGCATTAAAAAGACCTCTTTGCCCTACTTACTCAGGACCTTTTCAAGTAGTTGACAGAAAACCAAAATATTTTACCATTATAAAAAAGGGTAAACAAGATACTGTCTCTATAGACAGACTAAAACCAGTGTACTTGGATTTACCTACAAAGAACAGTACAGTGGAACACTCTATACCCCCACCGAATACAAAGGTGTGCAAACCATTTTCTATACCAGTAAACACACTCCCAAATGTCACTACAAAATCATTTAGAAAAGTAAATTGGCCTACTCCCTTTAAAACATATTAGATATTGAAAATATTTTTCAGTATTTACCAATCTGGGAGGGGGGTGGTTATAGGATACAAATTTCTATATTTTACAACCAATCAGTGAAGCACAAACAAGTAAGAGATGCCTACACATAAATCTGACTAAATTCAGTAGATACAAAAAAACTTTTTACAATTCTGTACAAACAAGGCTCCAAATTAAATAAATGGTTCCTGGAACCTGATTGGATATGACAAGTCACATGATGTGCTCTTTACTATGTCTATGCAGTTGAACTCCAAATGACCTGGAAATAGGTTAGGTCTTGGGTTACCGAGTACATTCCCATGCAAAACTCAGATAGGATTCATGAGCTGAGCACCGGCTTGCTATAAGTGATAAAAACAGCTCATCAGTAACAGTCAGGACCAGATCTGCAATGACACAGTCAGTGAAGGACAGTTGGTGAAAGACAGTCAGTGAACCAGACCAGCTTGATCAACAACATAGACACATGTTACTATAACAATGCATCAGTCAGCAATGATTTTTCTACATACAATACCATGAGGAAAGTAAGTTATATCTCCCCTCTCTTTGTTCACTGTGTTTTAAAATTACTGCTATTGAATGCAATCAGTCAGCAGTCACACACATTTCATTAGTGTGCTTCACACACACATATTGGCATTTTGAAACTTTGCAGACTCACTTGCAACAAATCATTTCAAACAATTGAACTATTGATTTCTTCATGGACAGAACAAAGATTATTGATTTTTAATATGTAAATACATGTAAACTGTATAAATGTTACTTTCATATTCAGCTTGGTCTTCTTCCTTTTCTGTGAAGATCTTCGTGTTGCATAAAAAAATTATATTGTATTTGTGGACACGACACTCAGATTTTATTTTCCACCTAAAATCCGGATAGACTGACCCCACAGTTTCATAATCTTTGTCAATGGTTTATATATATATATATATATATATATATATATATATATATGTATGTATTTTTTTTTTATAAATGTTACATAGAAGATTAATCAAACAATTTTAAATTTAAAAAAAGTCTTAAAGATAAAAATAGTCTAACAAAGGGAGATAATCATGATCTTTTCGCCTGTTTTTCAGCATGATTGTTTGTGGCTTGGTACAGGCACAGTATGCTTTCCACAACATTAATTCAAAATCTCGGACAAATATCAAATTCATCATCAAAGTCATCAGGTAAAAATCTTTAATTGATTTTTCCATTTTTTAACAAGATTTTGTTGTTGCTCAGAATAAAGAAATAGTGAAATCTGCAAGATTTTTTAGAAGAATTTGTTTTGTTTTTTTAAATAAAGTTCATTGTAGGTTAATATACAAAAGATATTTTGTCAGCAAGTTACTCATGTAGAATTAGATAATATCACAGGGTAAATGCATTTGGGCAAGTCAAAAATACTTAATAGTCATTTAGTTCATAAGAGTCAAGTAACACACTCTGATAATTCTTGAAGATAGTTACTTAAAAATAGATAATAATTTTGATTTCATGTCACAGAAACATATTTACAAGTTATTATCTCTTGTGAAAAACAAAAAAATATTTCAATTATTTCATAAGCTTTTTTGTCTTAACTTTTATATTTTCTTTTAATTTTATTTAAATTTTTTAGCACATCTGCTGAGCTGGTGATTTTTATTTTCCTGGGTATTTCCATGGTTCGCACACGGCACCAGTGGAATGCAGGCTTCATCATTTGGTCATTGATAGCTTGTATTATCTCAAGGGTCATGGGTAAAAAATTTATATTTTTCCTTGCAAGAAAGGCATTCATATGACAATTATTCTATAAAACTTCAAAGATTATAAACTGCTTTATCCATTCCAGCCATAGTTAACTTATTAATCTCAGAGACTTTTTCAAATGATAGCAAATATCTGCACTAACTTTCTCACTATTTGTTCTTTCTGTAGTAAAGCTGTTGCCTTAAAAGTTTCAGTTTTATTTGACATTTCTGTAATGTTGTCATTGTACAAATGAAAATAATTGACTGATTCTCTCATACTGTTTATTTTGCTCTGAACTTTGTCATTCACTGTTGGCCACTTTGGATTTAGGAACCTTCTCCAAACAAAGACTCTATTTACTCCTGTGGATGTATGAGACTTTCTCTTTTCTCTGGAGTAAGTGATTATATAAGTACTTGTACAATATTTTCCCATGCATGCACGTACAACCAAAGCCTAGTTGGATAAACCACATGTTTATCAGTTAGAGTCAACTACTGACATCTTGTAAGGTGCATATCTGCACTTGGTGGCCAGGAGGTTATTTCATAAGTCAATCTTTTGATGCACCTGGTTGTCACAGAATGCATAAGCTAGACAAAACGACAAACCCCACTGTACTAGTCAAAAATAAAAATTTGCTTTTTATAATAATTATTTTGATATAAAGAGTGTTCATCTGTACCTGCTCTGTGGTTGAAATAGGTTAAAGGTCAATGTCAAATCATTATGGCACAAAAGGTTGCTGTCTTCAGAGTTCAATAAAAACAATGTTTTTTTAAATAATTGATACATGCCATCATTCTTTGTTACAAGTGAAAACATGAGACTGAATCTCTTGTGCATAACATTACTGTTTATTCAACCAGACTCTCAGATAGTGAGGGATGCTTTGAGAACTTCTCCAAACAGACCCTATATTATCATATGAATTTAAGATACTATACTCTCTGGGGCAGATAGATATCAGTCCTTATAGTTCTTTTCCCATGCATGCATATCTCAGGCACAGTTGGGTTGATTATATGCCAACCTGTCAGGATCAGCTACTGATAGCCTATAAGATGACTGATTTGCACTTGGTGGTTAGGTCATCCTTGAGGTCAACCCACCAATGTGCCTGGCTTCTTTGACATTACACTGATCAGGATTCAAGGAGGCAAACATCTAGCACTACATTTAATTTTTTGTAAATTGTAATTGAGAGGAAAGTGAGAAATTGAAAGAATTCCACAGGTGAGATGTGTGGGAGAAGAAACTATCACAGGACTTAGAGTTACATTTCTACAAGAGAGATTCAGCATTCCTTTGTCAGTGTGAGTAACATCTCTCTGTAGAGGTATTGATAAAGTTTAATGTAGCACAAAGCTGGGTAAGGTTGAAAGATTGTGTTGCTCTAAGTGTGAAAATAAGTATTGGCAATTATGGCTTCTTACCAGGCCTTAAACCCTAGCAACAGTGGGAGATATGCAACTCTCTCAGCCACCAGCCATGCATCTGCACATTGATTCATTTTTATTGATATTTTTTTGTAACACTGAATTTTTTTCTTTTCATCCAGTTACATTTTTGTTTTCATTCTTTGTCAACAAATTTCACGGTGAGAGAATGAAAATCTTCAGTTTTGAAGAACAAATAATTATGGTAAGTTTTTCTTTACAAGAGAAATTGAGATTTGCTTTCCAAATAAAATTAACACATATGAAAATTCATATAATCTTTTTCTTTTTCCCTTGCAGTTAGTTTTCACAGAAATTGTGAACAAATATGATTTAAAAATTTAGTTTTCAGTTACAATAGCAAAGATCTGTTAACAGATTTGTTTCCTTTTGGACACTATCCTGGAAGATTAAAGCATCAGTTTCTGAATTTAGTGGAATAATAATTCTGAGTTCAATCCTTGGGCCAGGTAGTACAGACTCACACTCTATGGAAACAGGCTGAGCAATAACCAAGCAGTACCAAATAAGAACAAGACAAGATATCCCTAGACACGGACAGTGGAATGAAAACAATCTACCTGAGAGATTCAATAAAAGATTCAATTCAAAATTCCTTGTAGGTCACCCAGATTGACAGACACCTGAAGAAGGATAGAGGACACAATGGCCGAAACATTGTGATAATAACAAAAAAGATGAAAATATCACTCCAGCTGTAAATAATGTAAATAATGATAATTCTTCATTCCAGAAATGATGTTCATGTTCCCATCTCTTTCTCCAGCCTAAATTGTTAGCGTTATGCTCACAAACCAGGATTTGTGAGTTCAAATCTCATTGGAGCTGAGATATATTATGTTAATAATTTATCCAAATGTTCAGAGATTTTCGACTTAAATTTTGTTGCACTGAAAAACAATTTGACTATTTCAAAGCATTCTGGCCACACTTGTTGCTTCATTATGGTAGAGAGTTTAAAAGAATATTTTATTTCAGAAAAGAAACAGATTTTGTCAGTTGGCTATCTAGGTTCAAGCAAAATTAATTACATTGAAATTTGCAAAAGCAAGTGACATTAAAGATAGTAGTAGTAGCAACACTAAATAAGCCTTATATCAGCAGAAGCTCCCGAATATAAAAGCATGTGAACCCTAATTAACTTTTTTCCTGGGTTCCCTCCAAACTGCTGACATGAACTTTCCATGCTGAAGCTACAAGTGCTGCAAATGCTTCCCCTAAAACACACCAACAAAGTAAGTTCCCACTATAACATATTGTTGGTAAAATAACAATTACATTGGAACTGGAAAATGGCCAAATGGCAAAAGTCTTCCTATCAAATGATATTAAATTTCTTCAATTGATAATACTTATCTAAAAATCTTATATCTTCCATAAAAAAAAGAGTCATAAAAATCCTTGAAAAAAAATTAATGCAAATTTTTGTCATTACCATATTGTTTCCTCTGTGTCACCTTAAAGGTTAAAGGTTAAGAAAATTTCCAGTAAGCATTTGACAAAAGAATTTGGTGTGGGTAGGGGGTGAAATAAGAAATTTTTTTATTTTCTTTTAACAAAAACAAAAAGATAAACCTTCAAATGACAAAATGAAACTTAAAAATCAATTTAAATTTCTTTGAGCTTTTTTTTTTATCCTTTCCAGGCATATGGTGGACTTCGTGGTGGAGTGGCCTTTTCTCTTTCACTTCAGTTGGATGAAAATGATGTTCCACTCCGAAATACTTTCATCACAACTGTTTTAGTTATTATTTTTTTTAATGTGGTCATTCAGGTAAAAACTTTATCATACTTGAAATGATTTTTTTCCTAGAAATCACCTTTCATGTTGGGGTAAAAATATTTGATTATTTAATTAGTCCCTTTTGAAAATGCCACACTTTTCAGGTGGATTATTGCACATCAAGAAAAAGATACAATTATTCCATCATAGGTTGTGAAATATTTTGCTATAATCTATTTATAAATGATTTGATTATCACACAATTTTAACAGATAAAAGATGAAACTAACTCCGAAAATATGTTTGTAGGTAATCAATATTTGATTAAAAGAAGTGTTGAATGTGATTATTATTATGAGGTAATATTTCAGTGTTTATTCACACCATCATCAGAACATGATGAAAGAACTTTTAAAAAAATTTTTGACTATGTATTTTATTAAACATATTGTTTGATGCAGTCCTGACTAGAAAAGATAAAGGTGGCAAAATTATTATTTTAACAGTATCATTATTTTAAAAGTATCAATATTATCTTCAAAACTAATATACACTATGAATTTGTCTTTTGGTTTTAATTAGAAGGCTCTATGTGTTTCTCTGACCATATTTATTTCCTTTGGAAGGGATTTAAAAATTTTCTTTTTATTAAAATTCACTCAGTAAAAGCTTTGAGAGCCACTCAGGATAGAGCATTAGTATAATGGTAATGATGAATGAGGTGTGTAATATGAATGGAAAAGGTGGTAAAAAGTGGAGATTATGAAGATAAGGAGAATTGGTGATTGTCCTCCTGAATTTGGAGAGAACAATATTGTAGTGTTCAGGGAAGCAATCTTGTAGCAACCTGCTCTGCAAAATTACATTTCTTGTTCTCTGAGTGTATATTTCTTACATTTGAAACATGGGGGAAATAAGGTGGATTTAACTCTATGGAAGTGGTATAGCATGAGCAAGATGTAAAAGTGTGAACAGGTGGAACTAAAAAAAAATGGAGCTTATCTGAACATTTACCATCTAAACAGTGATAGAGTAGTAACAAGCTTGCAGCATTGAGTCTGTGAGAAAGTGGTCGCAGAGTGGAAAATAAGACCCCTTCCTCACATAACTGTACAAATAATTTGAACTTAATCAATGCTGGAAAGTGAGGACTGAGCAGCTAGCCGGATATGGTAGCAGTATGCTGTTTTTTTTTTTTGTTTAATCTGACTCTTATCAGCAGGGCAGAAAGAGTCAGATAATTCTTAGAGCAAAAAAATCAGCCAACAGTTTGTCAAGCATCTTTAACAATGGATCATATATATAAGTTCCCCTTGATGTCTGGAGTGAACTCTCTTAATCAAATATTGATTATTAATTTTATATTTTATGAAATATATTTGTTTTTGTAGATGTATTGAAATATTTTTACCAGTAATAATTTGTAATTGGTACTCTAAAACTAATTAATATGTATAAATATTTACAGAATAGTAGAGAAAAGATATGTGGCAAGCAATCTAGCTATAATTAGAGAAAAACTTCAAAAAACTTCTGAGAGGGATAAAATAAAATTTCTATTGTAACTTAAAAACAGTGACCACACTTTGAACCCAGCCACATGTTGAGTTTGAAGTCAAATACAAATTGATGAATTTCTTAAAAGCAAGATAAGTGCTCAGATGAGAATTTTAGTCTGAAGGCCTTTATCAGTTTCAAATATTGTTAAACTCTTTTCCTTTTTTGATTGAAGGGAATCACTATTAGACCTTTGGTTAATTTTCTGAAAGTCAAACTGGAAGAGAAATCGAAAAAGGATTTGATGACCACAATCAATAACAAAGTAAGTTAAAACTAAGTTTCTACCTGTCAACTAGCAAGTGTTGCCTTGCTTGAACAAGACAAATACTGTAATTGTAATATGCATGTGTGATGATGTATAAAGTTTGAAATTCTCAGTTCCACTGATTAAATCTAAAAAAGAAAATGAAGAGGAAACTGAAAAACTGAATTTCAAATAGATTTTATTTCATATTGTAAAAGCTGTTGTAAGAATGTAGAAGGTGGTTATCTCCCTTTTGACAAGAAGAATTTACTGATGTCATAAGGGGATGCTGAGGTCCACATGACACTCCATCAGTAAGAATAGTCAGGATAGAGGTGGACAGTTGCAGTCTCTGGAAAAGAGTATAAATATCATGCATCCTAAAGAAGAACCAAAGACATATCCCAGGGTCGGTACCATGTCCCTCTTGGCGACATTATGAGTCAGATTGTCTTTTTATTTACCTCCTGCACATATTTCTTACTTTTTTTCTTTATATATGAATTTTAATTTCTCTCTGTGTGACAATATATATATATATATATATATATATATATATATATATATAATTATTTATTTGAAAATTATAACATAAACATGTTATAAAATCACTACAAAAATAGCCATTTTGTTTCAACACTTCTGGTGTCTTATCAAGTAGAAATTTCTACATTCAACACCATCACTTCATAAGACACCAGAAGTGTTGAAACAAAATGGCTATTTTTGTAGTGATCTTATAACATGTTTATATATTTTCAAATAAATAATTATATTTTCTACTCTGTATTGAGCACACTTTTTAAGAATAGTATTTGTTTGTTATTGGAATTTATTCCATATACACCAATCCTATATTTGGAGATATATATATATATATATATATATATATATATATATATATATATATATATATATATATATGGGCACATGGCTGAGTGGTTAGAATGTTTACTTTCTGACCATGAAACACAGGTTCAAGTCTCACCATGGTCAATTTGTCAGGAAGGTGACTTCTTGATGTTATTGATCTAGAGTGGGGGGATCCCAGTGGTTGGCACTTTTGTAAAGTGCCCCAAAACCATACAATGGGTTGACCCAAGCCTTGTGAGTGAAATTGGGTAGATGGAACCTTTGGGGGTCATCGATGCCTGTGCAAGCACAAAGCCACAAGTCATTGTGACCGATGGTTTAAGCATGTTGGCCTTATTCAAATTATTGATCACACTAGATAACATGCTCTCTTCCAGAAACTGTATCTAAGGTTTGCAGTATAAACCACAGGTGGTTTCTGTGGATGTTGAACAAATACAAATGTGAAAATGTGCCTGAGTGGGCCTCTGCAATAGGGATTGGCTAGCCACCCTAGTAGATGGGTATACTCGAATACAAGTGGCCAGCTATTATATATATATATATATATATATATATATATATATATATTGTATCTTTGGATGACATATTTGTGTACTTCAGTGTTGTATACAAAATGCTTTCAGATTTAACTCATTTTTAGAATTCATTTCTTCAGGCTATTCTAGCCTCTTCTTCCATTTCATTAAGGTATTAATGTATCATGGATATACTAATGCCTATAGTGGACCTTAGAGAGTGGAGAAGACCAAGATATTTCCTCTCTCTATCTCCAAGCACCCCCATTGCTGTCAGTGGAGCCTGTAGGCTTGGTTTGTTAAGGGGAAACACAGCTTTAGATTATATGCAGAAACATTTAGGGATATATATCTGGCTAAGAAAATCTAAATAAGGCATAACAGGAAATGATGAGGTTTTCCTGCTGGAGCTATTCCCCTTTGTTGTCTTTACTGGAAGCATTTGAAACCTGCTGCTATTATTTTTTTATATGTATTTTCTTGTTTATGTTCAATACTTCTTGAATATTAAACAATAATTTTTAAATTCTTAAATATTAATAATTTTTAACTTCTTGAATATTAAACAATAAGTTTTAACTTCTTGAACATTAAACAATAATTTTTAAGTTCTTGAACATTAAACAATAATTTTTAAGTTCTTGAATATTAAACAAAAATTAAAATTAACTAAAGATAACAATTGATCTACTTTTTTCTTTTGCTGTAAATGAAAATAATTATAAGTGAAGCTAATTGTAAATATGGAAATATATTTAAGCATACCTTACTTTAAAATTTGATTTATCTGTACAGCCAATCACAATTAAAGAGTTCTGTTATTACAATATTTCAAGTTGTGAAATTTATACTGTATAATTGATAATGGAATATTGTTGATTATTAATTTTTTATTAATTTTTTTATTAAAGACTTATAACAGACTTAGTGTCTCCATCCTTCTGGCCATAAAATCTGTTTACTTTCTTCTACTGTCCAGCTTTTAATAATTTCAAGCAAATTTTGTTTTTAATTTCTTCACCTGAATCTTTTAAAGAGTCTTTTGTGATTAGCATCGCACATGTATATTTCCTATCATGTAAGCTGCTTGTTGTCTACAAAGAAAACAGAGTCAAAACTACAGTTTTTCCCTTGACACTGCTATTATTTTAACTACTTTCATTCCTCAGCAATGTTTATTACTGTTATAGACAAGCGTATGGTTGCAAGAAAGAAATACGACAACAGTAGAAATAGATTTACGTGGTTTATTTCAACAGGAACGTGAAGGTTTGGGACAGCTACCTTGTTCATAAGCCGACTTTCGGATCTGGTCGATCTCTCATAGTAGTTCACACATGTTGACGGTGGTTGACGCTCTCCTGCTGAACTTGACCGGTCTCCTTTGTGGCCACCTGTTGACTGCCTGTTGAACTTCCCTGTGACCCCTTTTACAGCGTTTTTTTATGGCTTAACAGGCTCGAGAAACGAGTATAATTAGGAGGGAAGCATTTTTATTGGACGAAAAATAGAGCACTTTAAATATTATTATATTTTTCGACCAGAACACGTGTGTCGGAAACATTTGTAAAGAAAGATAATGGTCATTTTGTGACGGGTCTTTGTCCCGTTCACATCCGGTTCTCGCTCTTGAGTATTTGCCTGTAAATCAGCCGAGATATGTCTTATTTTATTTTATAACATTACTTTAAAAAGTGATGATAAGAATTTTAATAAAATTTAAACATATGAAAGTGAATTTATCAATTTTCTTTGTTCTTGAGATTTGACAACAAAAATGATAAACACTATTTATTAGATTGTTTATTGGAATGATTAGCAAAACATCAATTCAAATTTTATAAAATGGTAAATAA